AATAAAAACCAACAACCCCCACCCCATCCCTGCTGCCAATCCCCAACAGAAATGCTCACAACAATGAAAACCTCGGACAGGAGGAAGAACGCCACCAGGCGGGTAGGCAGGCGTCTTGCTCGGCTGTGGCTTGGGGGGCATTTTTTTCAGGGCCATTGTAACTTCGAACAGTCACTAAGCGAAATGTTGTAAATCGAGGACTACCTGTACTTCATCACTTTTTTTCCTTTTGGGGGGGGGTCATCAAGTTTTTGATCCCTTGCTAGGCGACTGGTGGTACTTGGATATTGCCATAGCCTAAAAGTGGTACAATGGGTGAAAAGGTTGAAAAGCCCTGTCCTGGAGAACGGAAGAAAGATTTTCTGGAGACCGGAAGAAATACTTTCTCCCTGCAAGAAGTTCAAAATTTACACTCGTGGGGCATAGCAAGGGTCCTCAACCTCAGCCACTTTTAAGACTTGTGGACTTCAACTCCCAGAATTCCTCAGCCAGCTTTGCTTTGCTGGCTGGGGAATTCTGGGAGCTGAAGTCCACAAGTCTTAAAGTGGCCATGGTTGAGGACCCTGCCCTAAAGCATCAACTACCACAAAATTAGAAGACTCCATCTCCAAATCAGAAGCACAGAATCCCAGGGAGCAAAGGGACCTTTCGAGGTCATCCAGTCCAACCCCCGGCTCAAGGCAGGGATCCTTATTGCATATTTACAACCATTAGGATATTGGGATCTGTGAGGCTCCTTTCTAGATTCCAACCACCGAGTCAACCAAGGAAGCTGTGAGGGGCCACCATTAAAAATAAAAATCAAGAAAACCCAAAGAGAAGGTCCACGCCTGCAATCTAAGGCTTGGGATGTTGTGCCACCCCAAAATCTCCCCACTTCTGGCTCTACGTATTGTAATAGTAATAGTAGTAAAGTTGGAAGGGACCTTGGAGGTCATCTAGTCCAACCCCCTGCTCGGGCAGGAAACCCTATACCATTTCAGACAAATGGTTGTCCAGTTCTCTTCTTAAAAACTTTCAGTGTTGGAGCATTTACTGCTTCTGGAGGCAGGCTGTTCCACTGATTAATTGTTCTCACTGTCAGGAAGTTTCTCCTTAGTTCTAGCCTTTCAATATTTGAGGGGCTGTTACGGAGAAGGGGGGGGTTGTCAAGCTGAAGAAGCAATGCAGAAGTAAAGGATTCTTTCTCCCAGTTCATAAAGTTCTTGAAAGCCCCATTAAACTTCAACCTTCAAGGGTTCAACCCTTAGGATGCTGGGGGTTAAAACATGTGAGGAATGGTTGCAAAAATTGGGTATGTTTAGTTTAATAAAAAAAAGGACGAGGAGGGACATGATAGCAGTCTTCCAATATTTCAGGGGCTGCCCCAAAGAAGAGGGAGTCAAGCTATTCTCCAAAGCACCTGAAGGCAGGACAAGAAGCAACGGGTGGAAACTAATCAAGGAGAGAAGCAACCTAGAATTAAGGAGAAACAGTGAGGACAATTAACCAGCGGAACTGCTTGCCTCCAGAAGCTGTGGGTGCTCCATCATTGGAGGTTTTTAAGAAGAGACTGGACAGCCACTTGTCTGAAATGGCATAGGGTCTCCTGCCTGAGCAGGGGGTTGGACTAGATCAGGGCTTTTCAACCAGTGGTACGGGTACCACCTGTGGTACGTTGGCACCTGGCAGGTGGTACGTGACCATCCTAGACAAGTGGAGCAGGGGAGGGGAATGAGCTGAACCTGCGGCAGCACCATATAAGCCTGAACGAGAGACGGCTGGAGCTGCAGGGCTGTCGGAGCTCAGTGGAAGCACCAGGATTAGCACCAGGCTCCAGCTGGAGCTCGGCACTGATCCTGGCGCTTCTGCTGAGTCCAGAAGAAGCGCCCATCAGCTGGAATGTTGCAGCATCTCCAGGGTCTTGTGATTTACATTCAGAGGCTTGGCAACTGATTCCTATTTATGACGGTCACAGTGTCCCAGGGTCATGTGAAGGGACCAAAACCTGCTGCAACCACCCAGCAGATAGGGGGGAATAAAAACCAACCCCCCCCACCCCACCCCCACTGCCAATCCTCAGCAGAAATGCTCACAACAATGAAAACCTTGGACAGAATGAAGAACGCCACCAGGCGCTGTCTTGCTCGGCTGTGGCTTGGGGGGCACTTTTTTCAGGGCCACTGTTACTTCGAACAGTCACTAAGCGGGCTGTTGTAAGTCGAGGACTACCTGTACTTATCACTTTTTTTTTTTTTGGTCATCAGGTTTTTGACACCTTGCTAGGCGACTGGTGGTCCTCAGATGTTGCCATATCCTAAAAGTGGTACAATGGGTGAAAAGGTTGAAAAGCCTTGGACTAGATGACCTCCAAGGTCCCTTCCCACTTTATTATTCAGTATTCTATTCTGCATATGTGGATTTGATGCTTAATATTAGGAAGTTATCCGCAGTCCTAGAAATTAATAGGTCTTCCAGAATACCAGTTTCATCTCCAGGGACAAGGACCATGACGTTTAAGAAAAAAACACTTCACTAGATATATTAAGTGTCAATCCTAGCAGGCCTTAAAACCAACCAAGTGAAATTATCTGCCAAAGAAAGCAACAGGGAAAATGTGCTTTTCGGCACCTTCAAAGCCTCCACAGAAACCAAGACAGATCATCCCAAGAAAAGAGGCACACAAACAAGGCAATGGAAAAATTCCTCTCCTGTTGTTTATTTTACAGATTTTTTTTAAAAAAAAAAGCTTCATGGAATGAAGTCCAGGCCTTGATAGTGGCTAATTTTCTATATCAGGGAGATAACTTCCTAATCATCTCGGTTTCAAGGTTGCTATGGCAACGTGTGCCTCTTAACCAACATTGGCTCACTCTGGACAGTGAGACAGGCAGCATGTGGGTTTAATAAATTAAAGTAAATTAAAGGGGCAGAAGTAAGATTGACAGATCCTTTGCAATAGAGATTTTCTATGAGCAAGGCTAAATGACTACCAGGTCAGAATCTTGCATATGAGAGCCATAATTTTCAGGCACAACCATTTTCCAGGCTGCAGTTCTCCACACCTAGCGAAAATGGACCGATGAGCTTATTACAACAAGCAGAGAGAGAACATGTACTGAAGCAGCGGTGCTTAAAAAAAAAAAAACTGGCAGGATGAATTACAAAGCAACACAGGCTGTCAAAGTAAAGCAGCAGAAGCTTGCATTTCGCACCAATAAAGGGTGGGAGACAAATAAAAATAAAACAAGGATGTGAGGAAAAGGGAGATGCAAGCAAGCATGGGGGAAAAAAAATGCAATCGCCACTGACTTGGCCTATTTTGCTCAACTGAGAAAGTCAGGATTTTTTCTCAGGCCTAGATTGAAGGACTCATCCAGCTGCTCTTAAAAGCACAACGTTTTGAATCAGGAATGTGAGTTTTTTTCCTTTCTTCTTCAGAGAGCACATTCCAGTCAACCCCCCCCCCCCAAAGAGCGCAACTACCAATGGAAAAAAACAAATCCACACAACATGGAACAGGGTACAAGAAAGGAGGGTAGGGGGGGGAAGCGCCATTAAGAGAGCCACAGGGGAGGGGTACTCAGGAAAGGTGGCAGGAAGGAACAATTCGTCATTAAGGAAAGGAGGGAGGGGCTCAGGGTTGGGGTCTGTATCTAGGGGAGGGAGCAAGTGGGGAGGTCCTCCCTTGCCAGCCAAGGCAGCTGTGGGGCAAGGAGGGAAGGGCGAAGCAGGGGCACCCGGGCGAGGAAATGGTTGAATGAAAGCCTGCCAGCCTGGAAAGTGGCCAAAGTCCAGGAGTGCCACCCTCATCAGAAGGGTGCAAATGCTAGGTGTGTTTGCATTTGCGTTTGTGTGTGTGTGTGTGTTGGGGCAAAGATGCCAGAAGTTGGGGGAGGGGGGAGCAAAATATCAGCAGTATGTGTGTGTGTATATGGATGTTGGGGAACAAAATGTCAGGAGTGTGTGTGCGCGCGTGTGAGTGAATGTGAAGATACCAGGTGTGTGTGTGTGTGTTTGTGTGTTGGGGAGGGGGCCAAGAAGCCAGGAGTGTGTGGGAGGGGGAGACCAAATACCAGGAGAGAGAGAGAGAGAGTGTTGGAGGCAAGATGCCAGCAGCATTTGGGGGGGGGGACACAAAATACCAGAAGCGTGTGTGAAGATGTCAAGAGTGTGCATGTGTGTGGTGTTGGGGGCCAAGGCCAGAAGTGCGGGGGGGGGGGTAGCAAGATGCCAGAAGTGTGTGTGCTTGTAAGAGCAAGAGAGAGAGATGCCATGTGTGGTGTTGGGAGGGGGGGAGGCAAGAAGCGAGATGTGTGTTGCGGGGAGAACAAAACGCCAGGAGTTTGTGTGTGTAGGTGTCAAGAGGGCAAGAGTGTGTATCTGTGTGGAGTTGGGGCCAAGAAGCTAGGAGAGGGAGGGGGGCTGGCGGCAAGATGCCAGGAGTACATGTGTCTGTGTGTGTCTGTGTGTGAGAGAGAAGATGCCCAGAGTATGTAGGCGTGTGGTGTTGGGGTCCAAGATTTCCTATCTGTGTGTGTGCGTCTGTGCGTGTGTTTGTGTGCATACATTGGGGACCCAAGAGGCCAAGAATGTGAGGCTGGGGGACGGGGGGCGGGAGGAGGCAACTCTCCAAGCAGGAGCAGCTGCCCCTTCCCAGGCTTGGCAGGGCCACCCCTGCACCCCCCTTGGCTGGGGATGATGGGAGAGGGGAGACCCCCACCAGCATCCAGGTACCAAGGAGTGGGTGGGAGATTGGGGGGCGGGGGGGGGGGAGCTGCAGGGTTTCCCCTTGAGGAAGAAGAACCCTAAAGGTGGTTGTGGGGTGGGGGGGCGCCTTTCAAGCCTCCCACCCCCCCTCCATTTGGAGAGACCCCCTCCCCTCTCCCCATTTTCCCCCTCCCCTCACCCTTGAGGAAGAAGAACCCGAAAGGTGATTGTGGGGTGGGGGGGCGCCTTTCAAGCCTCCCACCCCCCCTCCATTTGGAGAGACCCCCTCCCCATTTTTCCCCTCCACTCACCCGTGTAGTGCACCACGCAGGTCTGCCCGCGCTTCGGGAAGGTCCTCCCTGCCGGGGGCGGTGAAGCGGGGGGGGGGGGAAGAAAGAAGAAGAAAGGCCGGTCAATTTGGGGAGGGGGGCTGACAAGCCGAGGAGGGGGAGCCGGGGGGACCCCCCTCCCCACCCCACGCCCCCCCTCCCCACCCCGGGGAGGAGGAGGGAGGGAGGGAGGGGCGGGTCTGGGGTCCCGGGCCCGCCCTGGCTCACCGTCCCCGGGGGCGATGGTCTCCATGAGGACGCCCATCTCGCGTCCCGCCGTCCGTCGAAATCCGCACCGCGAGGACGAGGCGAGGCGAGGCCGGCGAGCGGCACGAACAGCAGGCAAGAAGGCGGAGGAGGAGAGGAGGGGCGGAGAGGAGGGGCGGAGCCGCGCCTGCGCACGCGGCCTGTCCCGCCCGCCCTTGCCCCCCCCCACCCCCACCGCCACCCCCGCGGCCAGGCAGGACGTGCGCGCGCGCGCGCGCCAGGCAGCCCTCGGGCCGGCCTCGAGGGGGCGGAGCTAAGGAAGGCGGCGCCGGCGCCATTTTGAGCGCCTCATAAGCGGGTGGTGGTTTTTAAGCTTCTCCTCCGCTCCGGGTTGATTTTGGGGGGGGGGTTTTCTGGAGCCCATACTCCGCGCTCGGAGGGAGGGTCTTAGAAGGCGGCCCCCGTGCGGGCTCGCTTCAACAGAGGCTGAAATGTTGCCTTCCTCCCGCCCCCACTCTCGTTGGAAGCCTTTCCCGGGTGGTTAGGGTGTAGTAATGCTGAGCGGCCGATAGGGGGCGCGTGAAAAGTCGCTCCGCACGCCGTCACGTGGTTAGGGCTTTCTCTCTCTTTTTTTTTTTTTTTTTTTTTGGCAACCTGGTTTCTGCAGAATTACCACATTCCAATAAAAGACAATACGGACAGCGCTCCGCTTACCACTTCGTTTATAGCAGGGGCTTTTCAAACTTCGCTCTTTTATGACTGGTCCACTTCAACTCCCAGAATTGCTTAGCCAGGCACGCGTCCCTGGCTGAGGAATTCTGGGAGTTGAAGTCCACCAGTCATAAACAGGCCGAGTTTGAAACCCCTGTCTTAAATCTAACAAACAAAATGGAGGATGGCTGAGGAATTCTGGGAGTTGAAGTCCACCAGTCATAAACAGGCCAAGTTGGAAGACCCCTGGTTAAGGACTACATACCTGTATTACATTCTTTATGAGGGGGAAAAAAGCAGAAATCTTACCCTTGTTCTATGATTAGTGACAATTACCTCTCTTCCAGCCATGGAGCTACAAAGCAGCCCACAAAAATCTGAACTAGGCCTCTATCTGCTCTTTTTTTCCAGAATGTTCCTTCAAGATTTCCTCAAAATACTCATATCTGCCTTATATATTCTATAGCAGGGGTCTTCAAACTTGACCCTTTTAGGACTTGTGGACTTCAACTCCCAGAATTCCTCAGCCAGTGTGCCTGGCTGAGGAATTGACGTCCACAACTCATAAAAGGGGTAAGTTTGAAGACTCCTGGTTTATAGTGACAGTTCAAAGTTACAACGGCTTGTGACTGTTTTTCACACGAGCGTTGCAAAATTCAGATATTTGGCAGCTGACTCATCTTTATGACGGTCGCAGTGTCCTAGGGTCAAACCGTCCTTTTTTGTGACTTTCTGAATCCCTTAACAAGCAGGTTATTATCTGAACACCTACAGTAATTCACTACAGTAACTCAACACATGTCCTTGACTTATGGCCTCAATTGAGCCAATAATAATGATGATGATGATGATGTTGGAAGAGACCTTGGAGGTCATCTAATCCAACCCCCTGCTCAAGAAGGAAACCCTACCATTTCAGACAAATGGCTGTCCAGTCTCTTCTTAAAAACTTTGGTGTTGGAGCATTCAGAACTTCTGGAGGCAGGTAGTTCCACTGGTTAATTCTTCTAACTCTCAGGAAGTTTCTCCTGACAGTTAGAACAATTAACCAGTGGAACAACCAAATTTCCATTGCTAAGTGAGCATTGGTTAACGCTAAATGTTAAGTGAATTTTGCTCCATCCCATGACATTTTTCGCCACTGTCGTTAAATGAATCACTTCAGTTGTTAAGTTAGTGATTAAGCAAATGTAGTTCCCCCCCCCATTGACTTTGCATGTCAGAAGGTCACAACGTGACACCAGGAGACTGCAAGCGTCATAAGTATGGGTCAGTTGCCAAGTGCCTGAATGTTGATCACGTGATCACGGGGAGGCTGCAACGGTCATTCAGTCTGAAAAATGGTCATAAGTCCCTTTTTTTCAGTGCCGTTGTAACTTTGAACAGCCACTAAATGAACTGTTGTAAGTCACAACAGTTGTACACCATTCGTAAAAATAGAGATCTATCTTTATTTATCTTGTGTGTTTTCACCAATGCAAACTCTAAAACAGAGTTTCTCAACTTTGCCTACTGGAAGAGGGGTGGACTTCAACTCCCAGAATTCCCCATTCACTGGCTGGGGAATTCTGGGAGTTGAAGTCCACCCCTCTTCCAGTAGGCAAAGTTGAGACACAGAGTAATAGAATAACAGAATCGGAAGGGACCTTGGAGGTCTTCTAGTCCAACCCCCTGCTCAGGCAGGAGACCCTATACCATTTCAGACAAATGGTTGTCCAAGCTCTTCTTTAAAATTTCCAGTGTTGGAAAACCCACAACTTCCAGAGGCAAGCAGTTCCACTGGTTAATTGTTCTCACTGTCAGGAAATTACTCCTTAGTTCTAGGTTGCTTCTCTCCTTGATTAGTTTCCATCCGTTGCTTTCTGGATACGACATATCCCCCTTGGTGTAGAAAAACAGCACGTCGGCAAAGTAAAATTAAAGCCTGCATTTTTCCTCATCAGCAGGAATAACACAACCCCAGAGCTCCCAGCAGGAAAAAAACCCAAGCCGGTGTATCTTTGAAGCCGCTGAAAGCTGAAAGCCCAGCGTGAGTCCTCTCTCTACTTCAAGCCCACGCCGAGCAGCAGCGTAGAACTGACACGACTACCTGAATATCAATTATATCCATTGTGAGGTTCGTGGTACCGAGGGGACAACCACTTTTATTTTATTTTTATTTTTTTATCTCCAGCCGTCAAAAAAGACCTTTCAGGATTAAGATTTAGAGTTGAAAATTTGTGATTACTAGAATATATATGTTACACAGAGTAAGAATGTAATTTTTGGAATAATATGTTTATTTGTATGAAAATTATTTTGTAATGGAATGAGAATAAGAATATGAAAGAGGTTTTTAGAAATTTGGATGGCTTTAACAACTAATTGAGTGTGTTAAGTTAGCAAGATGATGTTTTGTATAATAATAGGTGTGGTTTTTTAGATATAATTATTTGAATGAGATTTACGGTAAATGCTATTTGAAGAAATAAGAGAGATCTGTGATAAAAATCAATGATTTATGAGATTATGAATTAGAATATATCTGGATTAGTATTTTAGAAGGGATACCCAAAGTGATAATACATTTATCTAAGATTAAATTGGACTATGGTAATTGTAAATTAATAAAGCTCAAAACAGGATTAGGATTTATAGATATGTAATGTAGAAATTGATTATGTTAAATAGGTTATATTATTTGAGGGAAATAGAGAGGGAACATTTAATGTTATTTACTTGAGCTATTATATGGTTTTGTTTTTGGATGATCAGCTAACCACCACGGTGTGTCTTGAGCATTCTGTTGTAAAAGTTAAAAAAAAAACCAATAAAATTTGTTATTAAAAAAAAAAGACCTTTTTCCGGAAAAGGGATAAAAGCAGGAGGCGCCTAAGAAAAAAGTACACGTTGTACGCAGCCCACACTTTTGCGGTGGGATGCTGGCTTTGAGTTGGCTTGGCGAAAGAATGCAAACAAACCCTTCAAAAGAGGCAGATGGGAACAGCAGCCCTGGACGGGTTTCTGGGTCTTTTACGAAGATGGCACGCAGGTGGTACTGGGGACCTGTGATGCCACCTTTGTGAGTCTCCACAACTGCCTGGAGGCTTGAAAAGCTGACCCACCGGGCAGTTTTCAGCTTCTACTCCAGCAGGAATGCAGCGGCAACCGATCTCAACCGAATTGAGCTGCGGTGCAGGGTTGCTGTCCAGTGATAGAGGTAGCCCCTGGTTTATGACCGGTTGCATAATGGCCGAAGTCACCATGGATTAAAAAAAGCACTGATGATGTTCCCTAGTTTGGTGATGAAACGTCTGCAAGAAAACCAGCAAGTTTAGACAGCACCAAAGATCCCATAATTATCCTTCTCCTTCTCCTCTTCGTCCACTCTGCAAACCCCAACAGACCTTCCTCCTCCTCCTGTTTTCCACACAACAACCCTCTGAGGTGGGTTGGGCTGAGAGAATGACTGGCCCAATATCACCCTGTTGCTTTCATGCCTAAGGCAGGACTAGAACTCACCGTCTCCTGGGGATTGGTCCAAAGTCATCCAGTGGGTTTTCATGCCTAAGGCAGGACTAGAACTCACCGTCTCCTGGTGATTGGCCCAAAGTCACCCAGCCTGCTTTCATGCCTAAGGCGGGACTAGAACTCACCGTCTCCTGGTGATTGGCCCAAAGTCACCCAGCCTGCTTTCATGCCTAAGGCGGGACTAGAACTCACCATCTCCTGGTGATTGGCCCAAAGTCACCCAGCCTGCTTTCATGTCTTAAGGCGGGACTAGAACTCACCGTCTCCTGGTGATTGGCCCAAAGTCACCCAGCCTGCTTTCATGCCTAAGGCGGGACTAGAACTCACATCTCCTGAGGATTGGCCCAAAGTCACCCAGCCTGCTTTTCTGCTAAGCCAGACTTGAACTCATGGTCTCCCGCTTTCCAGCCTGGCGCCATAACCGCTAGACCAAACTGGCTGTAGTTCGGTTATCTAGTTGGGTCATGACGCGTTTCCAAGTTAACAACAAAATTGACTAAGAAATCAGGAACCCATCAGGACTAAAAAAGTTATCTACAGTTCATCCTGGAAGTTATGTCTGCTGCACTATCACCAGCCTCCTCCGATACTTGACCGGTTTTGACCCTTAAAACTGTTGCAGCATCTCCCCTGGTCACATGATCGAAATTCAGACACTTGGCAACTGGCGTGTACTTATGACAGTTGCAGCATCCCAGGGTCACGTGATCGCCTTTTGCAACTTTCCCAACCGGCTCCCAGCAAGCAAAGTCAATGGGGGGCGGGCCCAGTTCCGCTTAGTGGCCACATGGTTCACTTAACAACAGACAATAGACCTGGGAACAAAAGCCATCTTGGGCTCCTGATTGAAAGGGAGATAAATCTTAACACGACGCAATTCATTTCGAGCCTGAATTAAAAAAAAAAAAAAAAAGACTCATTGGCTGGGCATTTTTTATTTTTTTTTTTGCCCTTGCTCACCAGCCCACTCCTCCTCCAGTTGCAGCATTTTCTGCTATAAAAAATAAATATGTATTTTTTTTCCTGTTCACAACAGAGGGAGGGGTGAGACCATTGCTATTTTTCTCCCCACGCAGAAGGCTTTTTTTTTTTTTTTTGCTCTCAGACCCAGAATAGAACAGATTGTAGAATGGAATGGAATAGAAAATGGAATGGCATAGCATAGAATAGAAAATGGAATAGAAAATAGAATAGAATAGTATAGCATAGCATAGAATAGACAGATTGTAGAATGGAGTGGAGTGGAGTGGAGTGGAGTGGAGTGGAGTGGAATGGAATGGAATGGAATAGAATAGAATAGAATAGAATAGAATAGAATAGAATAGAATAGAATAGAATAGAATAGAATAGAATAGAATAGAATAGAATAGAATAGAATATGGAATGGAATAGAAAATGGAATAGAAAATAATAGAATAGAAAAAAATAGAAAATAGAATAGAATAGAATAGACAGATTGTAGAATAAAATAGAATAGAATAGAATAGAAAATGGAATGGAATGGAATTTATTTATTTATTTATGAGACTTATATACCGCTTTAAGTGCAAGCACTCTCTAAGCGGTGTACACCAGTAAGCAATGTATATATATATATTTACATTGCCCCCAACAATCTGGGTCCTCATTTTACCTACCCGGAAGGATGGAAGGCTGAGTCAACCTTGAGCCGGTGAGATTTGAACCGCTGACCTGCTGAACACAGTCAGCTAAAGTGGCCTGCAGTACTGCACTCTAACTGCTGCGCCACCTCGGAATGGAATAGAATACAATAGAATAGAATACAATAGAATAGAAAATGGAATGGAATGGAATAGAATAGAATAGAATAGAATATGGAATGGAAAATGGAATAGAAAATAGAATAGAATAGCATTAGACAGATTATAGAATAGAATAGAACAGAATAGAATAGAAGAATAGAATAGGATAGGATAGGATAGGATAGGATAGGATAGGATAGAATATGGAATGGAATAGAAAATAGAATAGCATAACATAGCACAGACAGATTGTAGAATAGAATAGAATAGAATAGAATAGAATAGAATAGAATAGAATAGAATAGAATAGAATAGAATAGAAGAATTAGGATAGGATAGGATAGGATAGAACAGATAGTAGAACAGCACAGAAAGAACAGAACAGAACAGAATAGAATAACAGAGTTGGAAGGGACCTCGGAGGTCATCTAGTCCAACCCCCTGCCCAGGCAGGAGAGCCTACTCCGCCCGTTCGTTTTGCTGCCCGCAGTCGGTTTGCCTCTCCGCTCACCACATTCACTTCGATGGGCCTCCGGTCTCTTGGGTGGGCCTCTCGGATGCAGCTGGGCTTCCCCCGGCAGGCCAAGTTCGCTGCAGGCCGCTGCCCTTTGGTGGTGTTTTCCTCCTAATTCCTCCCGTCTTTCCTCTCCTTTTCCCCTCTCCAGTCTTCCCCCCCCCTTTTTTTTCTGTGACTTATCTTTCCCCCTTCACCTCTCCTCCTCCTCCTCCTCTCCTACCCGCGATGTAACCCTGGCTTCCTCCGTTGCCGCCATCTTGATAGTTCTTGATGCCCCCACCCCACTCCACTGCTGCATTTTGGGTTAGAAAGGGGACAGAGACCAATTGTCCTAAGGTCAGCTTGGATGTTTTTTTTTTCTTTTTTAATGCACACATACAATAATTTACAGAATTCGCCCTCGGTACGTGTGGACTCCGTTAGCTGAGGGAGGCGGGGGGGGGGAGAAAAACCCCACCCTTTTTCCAAACCATCCAGCGACATGTCTTAACAAAGAAAAACCTGGCCAGGTTACACATCCCTGGTTTGAAAGCAAAATCGGATTTTTTTTCCCACCCCGCCCGCCCCCCCATTTCCTCCCCAATGTGCCCCCTCATAGACAAGAAGAGCTATGGGGAGACCAGGCCATAAGGGGATATTGACTGCATATGATCCCCTAAGGAAAACAAGGGAAACTATTTTTTTAAAAAAAATAATAAAAATAAAAAGCTGCTTTTGTGAAGGCCACGAATGCAGATCGGGCAACTGTATCCGATGCTAAAAACGGGCAGGTTCCAGTTAGAGGGACAGTCAGACAGACAGCCCATCATAGCCCCCCCCCTCCTCTGTGAACTTCCTAAAGCCCCCCCCCCCATGAAAGAATGAACCCCCTCTTTGCCCAAAGGCCAGACCCAAATTCATCAAGATTCCTTTGCGGGTTGCACGGCCGTGCAAAACTGCAGCCACGCAGCCCTGTGTAGCCTCGTTGTGTCATGACCCAAACTTTTTTTGGGGGGGTGAAGGAGGATTAAAAAAAAAAAGGAGGGTTGGAAGGAAGGAAGAATAGATGTTAGCCTGTTTAGGAAGAGGGAAACTTGACAATCCCCTTTACAGCAATGTTTCTCAACCGTGCCCATTTTTAAGGTGGGTGGACTTCAACTCCCAGAATTCCCCCTGGCTGCAGAATTCTGGGAGTTGAAGTCCACCCACCTTAAAGTTGACCAGATTGAGAAACAGGATTTGGTTGACGATAGGAGGGGAAAAAAAAAAAAAAAAGAAGTCCCAGTTTGGGGTTCACTTTTTTTAATACACCAAAAAGAGAAGGAAGAATGAGGGGGGGGCACCCACTCCAAAACAGGACCCAGAAGAGATTCTGATCCCCCCCCCCATACACACACACACCTCTCCCGTGGCGCTCCCAACTTCCCAACTGCCTCCACTATCCAGCTGGGCTCCGGCAGGCCCACCGGGAAACACAAAAACAGTCTCGGTTTGGTTAATTTCGTTTCTTTCGTCAAAGTCCGTGGATCAGCACAGAAGAAGAAGGAAGGGGAAAAAAAATTAAAAAGAGAAGAAACCCAATTAGGGGAATTCGCAACCCGAGAGGTGGAAAACTGGCGTGATCACCGGGTGGCCGCCTTTCCACGGCGGGGGGGGGGGAGCAGGGGCGGTGAACCACGTGAAGACAGAATGACGCGATGTGGACCGGCGGGCAGCTTTCCCTTATACGAACCGCTGGACGATGACGGCGTTCAGGAGGTTGGCGTCCTTCAGGGTCTGGTCCTCGTCCGAAAGCTCCTTGTTGGGAAAGGTGGTCATGAGGACGAAGCCCGTGGCCGCCATAGCCGGCCGGGCGTCCACGATGAACAGCCGGATGTCACGGATCCTGTCCGGAGGAAAGGAAAGAGGGGCACCTTGTCGCTTTCTGTTCACCAAGTTTAGCAATATCCCACTTTTATTCTTTTAACTTATGACGCCAAGCAGTCCTTCCTCTTCCTATTTTCCTCACAACAACAATCCTGTGAGGTGGGTTGGGTGAGAGGACGCGATTGGTTCAAAGTCACCCAGCTGACCTTCGTTGTCTAAGGCAAGACTAGAACTCACCGTCTCCTGGGGATTGGCCCAAAGTCACCCAGCCAGTGTTCATCCCTACGGTGGGACTAGAATTTATCGTCTCCTGGTGACTGGTCCAAAGTCGCCAAGATGGTTTTCATAACTAAGGCGGGACTAGAACTCATATTCTCTTGGGCAGCGGTTCTCAACCTGTGGGTCAGGACCCCATTTGGGGTCGAACGACCATTTCACGGGGGTCGCCAAACAACGCAGTCCGCCATTTTTTCCCCCCTTTTCCTTAGCTGTGCTACTCCCTTTTATTCTATTGGCTTTTGAAAGCCAATAGGATAGACCAGTGATTCTCAACCTTTCTAATGCCGTGACCCCATAATACAGTTCCCCATGTTGTGGTGACCCCCAAGTGGGTGTGGCCACCAATAAGAGGGAGTAGGGCAGCTAGGAAAAAGGGAAAAAAATGGCGGACAGCATGGTTTGGTGACCCCCGTGAAATGGTCATTCGACCCCAAATGGGGTCCCGACCCACAGGTTGAGAACCACTGGGATAGACTCTCTTGAATAGAGTCTAATTCTATTGGCTTTCCAAAGCCAATAGGAATTGTCCAGGCTGTCTCTGCCCTGCTGAGCACGCCAAAAGTCCCATTCTGCAAACGGTGCTGCACCAGTTGAGTAGTCCTCGACTTACGACCGGTTGAGTAGTCCTCGACTTACAACCGGTTGGGGGTCGCGGCATTAAAAAGGTTGAGAACCACTGCTCTTGGGGATTGGCCCAAAGTCACCATAATTAAGGCGGGACTAGAACTCACATTCTCCTGGGGATTGGCCCAAAGTCACTCAGCCAGTGTTCATCTCTAAGGTGGGACTCGAACTCAATGACTCCCGGGGATTGGCCCAAAGTCACCATAACTAAGGCGGGACTAGACTCACATTCTCCTGGGGATTGGCCCAAAGTCACCCAGCCAGTGTTCATCCCTCAGGTGGGACTAGAATTTGTTGTCTCCTGGTGACTGACCCAAAGTCACCAAGATGGTTTTCTTAAGTAAGGTGGGACTAGAACTCATCGTCTCCTGGGGATTGGCCCAAAGTCACCATAACTAAGGCGGGACTAGAACTCACATTCTCCTGGGGATTGACCCAAAATCACTCAGCCAGTGTTCATCTCTAAGGTGGGACTTGAACTCAATGCCTCCCGGGGATTGGCCCAAAGTCACCATAACTAAGGCGGGACTAGAACTCACTGTCTCCTGGGGATTGGCCCAATGTCACCCAGTTGGTTTTCACGCCTCCACGAACGGTCGTAAAGCGAGGACTGCCTATACTGCGGCAAGTTCACCTCCAGCATCAATTGCAGGTTTGGGCGTGTCCAACCCCTTCCCCCTTGGACCCCCCCCACCTCCTCCTTCCCCCCCCCCCACCTGTGACTGTGGTTGAATTTCTGTACAAGACGCCCTCCGTCTGCCAGCCGGATCTGGATGTTGGTGGTGGGCTCCGTCTCATCGATGGTGATCAGGGAACGGGCCTTGGCTTCGTTCTCCGCCTCCTGCGAGGGTGAGCTGGACCCCATCACTTGGGGGGCAGTGCTGGGGCAAAAGCAAAGGAGGGTAAGTCCGCTTCGTGAAAAAAGCCTTCGAGCTCATCTGGAAACTGCAAAGCTCTCTAGCGCAGTGGTTCTCCACCTGTGGGTCGAGACCCCATCTGGGGTCGAACGACCATTTCATGGGGGTCGCCAAACAATGCAGTCCGCCATTTTTTCCCCCTTTTCCTTAGCTTTTACTCTATTGGCTTTTGAAAGCCAATAGAATAGACTCTCTTGAATAGAGTCTAATTCCATTGGCTTTCAAAAGCCAGTAGGAATAGTCCAGGCTGTCTCTGCCCTGCTGAGCCCGCCAAAAGTCCCATTCTGCAAACGGTACTGCACCAGTTGAGTAGTCCTCGACTTACGACCGGTTGAGTAGTCCTCGACTTACGACCGGTTGGGGGTCGCGGCATTAAAAAGTTTGAGAACCACTGCTCTAGCGGAACTAGGAGGCGAATGAACCGGCCCTGCTCAAACTGAATCATCGAGGATGGATTGTGAGACAGAAAAACTGTTTTTACAATTGATTTCTTTGTATCCCGCCTTTTATTGTCTTTATAAATGACTCAAGGCCGCAACCATCTCCAACAGACCTTCCTCCTCCTGTTTTCCCCACCACAACAACCCTGTGAGGTGGGTTGGGAGGACAGAGAGGGACTGGCCCAAAGTCACCCAGCCATGTTTCATGCCTAAGGCGGGACTAGAACTCACTGTCTCCTGGTGATTGGCCCAAAGTCACCCAGTCACCTTTCATGCCTAAGGCGGGACTAGAACTCTCCGTCTCCTGGTGATTGGCCCAAAGTCACCCAGCTGGCTTTCATGCCTAAGGCGGGACTAGAACTCATTGTCTCCTGGTGATTGGCCAAGTCACCCAGCCAACTTTCATGCCTAAGGCGGGACTAGAACTCCCTGTCTCCTGGTGATTGGCTCAAAGCCAACCAGCTGTCTTTCATGCCTGAAGTGGGACTAGAACTCACTGTTTTTTCCCTGTCAAGGAAGTACAGATAGTTCCCGACTTACAACAGTTCATTTAACGACCGTTCAAAGTTACAACGGCATTGAAAAAGTGACTTGGGACCATTTTTCACACTTATGACTGTTGCAGCATCTCCACTATCACATTATCAAAATTCAGACACTGGGCACCTGACTCCTATTTAGAATTGAATAGAGCTGGAAGGGATCTTGGAGGTCTTCTAGTCCAGCCCCCTGCTCAAGTAGAAGAACCTATACCATCTCAGACAAGTGACTGTCCGGTCTCTTCTTAAAAGTCTCCACTGATGGAGCGCCTACTATTTCTGGTGGCAAGCTGTTCCACTGGTTAACTGTCCTGTTAGGAAGCTTCTCCTTAATTCCAAGTTGCTTCTCTCTTTGGTCAGTTTCCAACCATTGTTTCTCAATCTTCCCTCTGGTGCTTTGGAGAATAACATGACCCCCTCTGCCTTGTGGCAGCCCCTCAGATACTGGAATGCTGCTATCATGTCTCCCCTATTTCTTCTTTTCCCTAGAACTAGCCAAACCCAATTCCTGCAGCCGTTCTTCGTATGTTTTAGCCTCCAGGCCTTGGATCATCTTAGTTGTTCTTCTCTGAACTTTTTTTGCAAACTCTCAACAACTTTTTTGTGATAGGGTGACCAAAATTGGCTGCAGTGTTCCAGGTGTGGCCTCACTAGGGTTTTATAAAGCGGTACTAATACTTCACGTGATCTTGATTCTATGCCTCTGTTTATGCAACCCAGGACTGTGTTAGCCTTTTTGGCAGCTGCTGGCACATGGCTGGCTCAGGGTCAAGTGATCGTCCACCAGGACTCCAAAGTCCCTCTCACTGTTGTTGTTTTTGAGCTAGGTCTCACCCAATCTGAGGTGGCGAGGTGGCGCAGCCGTTAGGGTGCAGTACTGCAGGCCACTTTAGCTGACTGTGTTCAGCAGGTCAGCGGTTCAAATCTCACCGGCTCAAGGGTTGACTCAGCCTTCCATCCTTCCGGGGTAGGTAAAATGAGGACCCAGATTGTTGGGGGCAATGTAAATATATATATATATACATTGTTTACTGGTGTACACCGCTTAGAGAGTGCTTGCACTTAAAGCGGTATATAAGTCTCATAAATAAATAAATAAATAAATCTATATTTGTGCCTTTGGTTTTTCCTGCCTAAATGTAAAACTTTTGCTTTTCCCCACATTAAAACTCATTTTCTTGGAGAGGGCCCATTGTTCAAGTTGGTCAAGATCTTTTTGGATCCTGAATTTGTCTTCTGGGGTGTTGGCTACTCCTGCCAGCTTGGTGTCATGTGCAGTTTGGTGTCATCTGTTTATGCAACCCAGGATTGCCTTAGCTTTTTTGGCTGCTGCTGCACACGGCTGGCTCAGGTCGTTAAATGGGGCAAAGCTCACTTAACAAATGTTTCCCTTAACCGCAGAAATTCTGGGCTCAATTGTGGCCGTGTGTCGAGGACTACCTGCTTGTAAATATCCTGAGGGGCTTACCTGCCTAGCTTCTGGCCCTCTCCGGTGAAAGCCCTGAAGGTACCCCTGCTCTTCACAAAATCCTCGTCGCGGTGGTCCTCCAGGTCTAGGTTCACCTGCCCGCCACGGGCCAACCGACGGAGCTCAGCCGGGACTTCTCTACGAGGAAGAAAAGGCATGGAATGCCCGTCAGGAGAAGACACCCCTCCCCGCCTTTCCCAAAAGGTGTCAACCTGGGACTCTTCCCATTCCCTTTTCTGGACAAACAAGAGTCCCAGGGAGGTCAGATCTGAGCATCTGATGAGGCCCGGTGCAAGTTCTGGGTCTGATTCTTCCCAGGGCAGGACTATTACCCCCGACGGATGGACTCCAGGAACTGGGAGTTGGAAGGATCTTGATAGCTCCTCAGCTCGCCGCTGTTTAGGCTGAACCCGCTTTTCCACATCTTGAGCACCACGTGAACCTACGAAAGGCAAATGGATGGATTAGCAAGAGCCCTTAGACTTAGATGCCGCTTCACAGGGCTTGAAGGCCCTCTCTAAGCGGTTTACAGAGTCAGCCTCTTACCCCCCCCCCAACAATTTGAGTCCTCATTTTACCGACCTCGGAAGGATGGGTGGCTGAGTCAACCCTGAGCCGGTCAGGATCGAACTGATGGCAGTCAAAAGAATTAGCCTGCAATACTGCATTGTAACCACTATGCCACCAGGACTAAAAGGAAGGAAGAAGAGAGGAAAAGGAAAAGGGGGAGGGAGGAAGGAAAGAAAATGGGAAGGGAAAGGAAGGAAGGGAATGAAGGAAAAATGGGAAGGAAGGAAGGAATAAAAAATTGGAAGGAAGAAAAAATAGGAAGGAAGGAAGGAAGGAAGGAAGGAAGGAAGGAAGGAAGGAAGGAAGGAAGGAAGGAAGGAAGGAAGGAAGGAAGGATGGATGGATGGATGGATGGAAGGAAGGAAGGAAGGAAGGAAGGAAGGAAGGAAGGAAGGAAGGAAGATCCACCTGAACATCTGCAGCCTTCTTGTACCGATCCAGGCTTTCCTAATTTTCTAAAATCCAAAACTTTTCCCCAGGCCTGAACAGTGACTGACCACTTCCTAACCGCACCTAATCTTGAAGCAGTTGTTCTCAACCTTTTTAATGCCGCGACCCCCAACCGGTCGTAAGTCGAGGACTACTCAACCGGTCGTAAGTCGAGGACTACTCAACCGGTCGTAAGTCGAGGACTACTCAACCGGTTGTAAGTCGAGGACTTCTCAACTGGTGCAGCACCGTTTGCAGAATGGGACTTTTGGCGGGCTCAGCAGGGCAGAGACAGCCTGGACAATTCCTATTGGCTTTGGAAAGCCAATAGAATTAGACTCTATTCAAGAGAGTCTATTCTATTGGCTTTCAAAAGCCAATAGAATAAAAGGGAGTAGCACAGCTAAGGAAAAGGGGGAAAAATGACGGACTGCGTTGTTTGGCGACCCCCGTGAAATGGTCGTTCGACCCCAAATGGGGTCCCGACCCACAGGTTGAGAACCACTGTCTTGAAGGAATCAAAAATTCCACCGAATGCTAAGTTTGGGAACTCTGCTGGTCTTGGACCCAGATAAAGATTTGATTTGATACGTTTGGGACCCTCAGACCTCTAACGCACAGCTGCCCCAGACCCAGTCCGAGGCCTGAAATACTCACATCCTGGGCAGCGTTCGGCCTCATTTCTCCCGCCACGTAAGCGGACTCTTCCTCGGGGGCAGCTCCCAAGCGGTACCCTCCTCCTGCAAACGGCTGCAAGGGAGAAAAAAAAGAAAAAAAAAGATGGGGGGCTCACCCAGTTCTTCTGCATGAAGCCCAGATGCTGTATAAAGCTATTATCAGCCTTCATTTAAAGTCCCTCCAACCATCAGAAAGGGGTTTTGTTTTTTTTTAACATAGGGTTAAGCCAGACTCGTGGACTTCAACTCCCAGAATTCCTGAGCCAGCATGGGGGAACTATGGCCCCCTCATGACTCGTGGACTTCAACTCCCAGAATTCCTGAGTCAGCCATGCTGAAGGGAAAGGGAGAGGTTTCCAAGCTGAGCCAGGCTGGCTCAGGAATTCTGGGAGTTGAAGTCCACGAGTCATGAGGGGGCCATAGTTCCCCCATGCTGGCTCAGGAATTCTGGGAGTTGAAGTCCATGAGTCATGAGGGGGCCATAGTTCCCCCATGCTGGCTCAGGAATTCTGGGAGTTGAAGTCCATGAGTCATGAAGGGGCCAGGTTTGAAGAACCCTGCTTTAAATATTTAAATATTTTTTCTTCACGGTCACGTGATCAAAATTCAGGCATTTGGGCAGAGGTAGGCCACCTTGGCTCTTTTATGACTCGTGGACTTCAACTCCCAGAATTCCTGAGCCAGCCACACTGAGGGGAAAGGGAGAGGTTTCCAAGCTGAGCCATGCTGACTCAGGAATTCTGGGAGTTGAAGTCCACGAGTCAGAAAAGAGCCAAGGTTCCCTACCCCTGGGCTAAGCAATGTTCTTTCAGATCTCCCAGCCTCCAAATTACACAAATTCCAAAATACCAGGAATTTGGTAAAGTTTTCTTAGATGTACCTTGATTTGTTTTTTGTTTTTTTTAACTTAACAACCTTCACAGGAGACAGATTATAGATGAAATACACAGTCACCAACGCTTCCTGTTCCTCTAACTCAGAGCTCTCCAAACTTGGCGACTTTTTAAAGATTCGTATAGACTTCCAGAATTCCCCAGATAGCCAATTCCAGCTAGGAATTCTGGGAGCTGAAGTCCACTTGCTGGCTATGAAATGGGCAAGAAAACAACCAAGTTCAAAACACCATGGTCCTCCTCCTTCTCCAATCTGCAACCCCCACTCCCTTCTAGCACTGATGATGTTACCTATTTGGGTGCTGAAACATCTGCAAGAAAACCACCAAGCTCAGAAAGCACCCAGGACTCCCACAGTCCTCCTCCTTCTCCTCCTCTCTTCTCCTCCCCCTCCACAAACCCACCTCCTTCTAACACTGATGATGTTACCTAGTTGGGTAATAAAACGTTTCCAAGAAAATAACCCAGCTCAGAGAGCACCAAGCATACCGCAGCCTTCCTCCTCTTTCTCTTCCTCCTCCATTCTGCAAACCCCACTCCCTTCTAGCACAGATGGCGTTACCTAGCTGGGTCACAGAATGTCTGCCAGGAAATACTAAGCTCAGAGAACATCAAGGCTTCCACAGAAAGAGAAATGCAGACAAGCGTGCATTAACACCAGACAAACAAACAAGCAGAAAACAATAACCGAATCAAGGAATTATCCGGGGGGGGGAAACCACAGCCCTACCACGTATATTGATAGAGAACCCCCTTTCCCTTCTAGCACTGATGACGTTACTTCGTTGGGCAATGAAATGTCTGCCAGAAAACCACCAAGCTTAGAGAGCACCAAGGACCCCCCAGTTCTCCTCCTTCTCCTCCTCCCCCTTCTAGCATCATCTGATGATGTTACTTAGTTGGATCATGAAACATCTGCAAGAATATTTCAGAGAGCACCCAGGACCCCACAGTCCTTTTCCTCCTCCTTTTCCTTCTCCTCCTCCTCCTCCTCCTCCTCCTCCTCCTCCTCCTCCCCCCCTTCTAGCATCATCTAACTCAGGGGTGTCAAACTGCCGGCCCACGGGTCGGTTTCATCATACCGGAGCCGCGCCCACCCCATTGCCAGCAACGGCGAAAAAGCTCCGATATGTTGCGCGACGTCACCAATTTGACATATCTGATCTAACTGATGATGTGACCTAGTTGGGTCAAGAAACATCTGCAAGAAAGCCACCCAGCTCAGAGAGCACCAAGGACCCCACACTCTTCTTCCTCCTCCTCTCTACACCCCACACTCCCTTTTATCACTGATGATGTTACCTAGTTGGGTCAAGAAACATCTGCAAGAAAGCCACCCAGCTCAGAGAGCACCAAGGACCCCACACTCTTCTTCCTCCTTCCTCCTCCTCTCTACACTCCACACTCCCTTTTATCACTGATGATGTTACCTAGTTGGGTCAAGAAACATCTGCAAGAAAGCCACCCAGCTCAGAGAGCACCCAGGACCCCAAACATCCCCTCCCTCTGTGCCACGTTTGATTGAGGGAATCTTTAAGGCCACTTGAAAGCAAATCAGCCCACCCACCCACCCACCTACGCCGAGCTTGACCAAGGCTCTCTGGCTCACCTTTGGCCTGCTGCCTTCCCCGGGGCTCTTAGCTGTCCTGTCGACAGCCACCGCCCCGTGTTCTTTGGCCCCCCGGAACAGGTCCTCCACCAGCTCGTTCGAACTCTTCTTCCTTGGGGGGCCAACAATCTGCTGCCCGCTCCGTTCGGACCCACCAGCATAAAACCTAAACCAAAGACAAAGAGACTTGAGGATTCCCCCCCCCCCCGGAGGGGAAAGTCCTCGTTCGATTTCGGAAGCATGGCGTGATTTTCTGCCATTGCAAACTGAACCGCTGATGCAGCAGCTGCATTAAGGCTTCTTGGCTGTTTAAAAACGTTTTTTTTAAATGTGGATCGTCTACGTCATTTGCTAAGATGCAGAAATCAAATCAGCAAACGAACAAGCAAACAAACCTAGGAGAAAGTTGGGAAGGAAGCAAATTTACAGATAGGACTTCCCTGAACTCACTTCGGCTCTATTCTGTTAACTACGAAATAGGGTTGGGAAGGCACAGAAGCTGGCGAAAATCATAAAACACGCGTCCGCCTGATTTTTCGGCAGCATTGTTTAATTTTGTTTATTAAACTTATTCACCGCTCACAGCACTATGACGTGATGCTGAGTGGCTACAATCCGATAATATTATAAAAGGTTAAAAGAGCAAAAACAATAAATATACTAAAATTCGCATAGAAATAGCTGAGAGTGAGCAGGCAGGGTGGAGGGTACACAATAAATATTTGCCAGTATTTCAATGAATTGGGAGTATTATGTTGACCAAGGGATTGAAGAAGGCTTTTATTCAAAATGATCTTTTCTGGAGCTTGTATCGTTATAGCAGACCTGCCAGCACTTAAACCTCTAAATCAGGGGTCCCCAACCTATGGTCCGTGGCCCAATGCCTACTGGCCACTGGGCCACAGGACAGATTGGAGAGTGAACACACATGTCCGCGCACTCTAACCCCCACTCGCGCTACAGCCTGCGGATCCATTTGTGCATGCACACGGCGCCAGTGGAGGCGGTGGCTAGCGCCTGCGCACATGCACAAATGGCGCTGCTAGTGCCGTGCTAGTTGCATGGCCCATTCGCGCATGTGCACGAGGCCAGCGGCATCTAGGACCTACATCCATGCACAAACGGGGCTGTTAACCCCGTGTGTGCACGGCCCCATTCATGCGTGTCCCTGTTCGGGCACCGCATGTGTAAATTTCTCTCCGGGCCGCCGGCATGAAAAGGTTGGGGATCGCTGCTCTAAATGGAGGCAATCCTTGGCTCCATTGGCTGAGAATGGTATAGTTTTATTAGAAGTCAAGTGTATCGCGGTAATGCCTAGCCAGAACTGAGAATTTTGTGAGGGCGAAGGTTCGTTGTTCGACTTTGTGGGTTGGTTTCCCAATGTTTTGTGGCCGGGCTAGGAAACATCTTTAGCGGCGGTTAGGGGAGGTCAGTGTCAGTGTTCCTCTGTTTATAAGGGCAACAGGGGTGGGTGTGTCAAGTGAGGGTCTTGTGAGAAGTCATTAGTGAGAGGCTGGGGATGGGTTGTGATGGGGAGGTTACATCAGGTCAGGAGAATCTTGTGCCAAAATCCCTAAGTTCCACTTTTCCCGCCCTTCACTCATCTCTTCGCCCATCTCTCTCTCTCTCTCCTCACTCTCTCTCCCTCTCTCTCTCTCTCTCTCTCTCTCTCACACACACACACACACACACACACACACGACCAGTCAGATTCAAACAAGATGTTTTAAGGACGGGCACTTCAAGCTTGTAGTTTGATATGCAGATGGGAACTGCAGCCAAGAAATTAAAAGACGCTGGCTCCTGAGGAGGAAAGCTATGGCAAATCTAGACAGCATACTAAAAAGCAGTCACATCACCCTGCCAACAAAAGTGCGTATAGTCAAGGCCATGGTGTTCCCAGTTGCAATGTGTGGCTGTGAAAGTTGGACCATAAGAAAGGCTGAGCACCAAAAAATGGAGGCCTGTGGTGCTGGAGAAGACTTCTGCGAGTCCCCTGGACTGCAAGGCGATCCAACCGGTCAGTCCTAGAGGAGATCAACCCTGACTGCTCCTTAGAAGATCACATCCTGAAGTTGAAACTCAAGTCCTTTGGCCACCTAATGAGAAGGAAGGACTCACTGGAGAAGGGCCTAATGCTGGGAAAGATGGAGGGTAAGAGAAGAAGGGGACGATGAGAAGGAGGTGGCTGGATGGAGTCCCTGAAGCAGGAGGCGTGAGCTTCAATGGACTCCAGAAGATGGTAGAGGACAGGAAAGCCTGGAGGAACGTGGTCCATAGGGTCGCGATGGGTCGGAGACAACTTCGCAACTAACAACAACATGCAGCTGCCTTCTTCTCCCAGCTGGGTGACCTTGAGGCAGCATGTCTGGGAGATACAGCCGTTACTTCCACTTTCCCTCAAGCATTTCTCCTCCTCCTCTCCAGAGTTCATGGCAGACTGTCACCACATGATAGCCAAGCACACAAGCAAGCATATGGTGACAGCCGACAGGCATTTTACGGCCCCTGGACTACATCCTGACTGTCCTTATCTAGTCAGCAAGGGTTGCTTTTACACGGATCGCTGGACTTACAACCCCCACAGACTTTCCCAATTCCTACTTCCCATCTGAGCAGTCACCAACCTTTGTCCTTCTTCCTCCTCTTCCTCCTCTTCCTGAGCATGGACGAGATCGCGGAAGGAGGTCACCCTGTGGTCGCTGGAGAAACAAAAGGAGACATCACATGAGTTGCCTGCCTGCTCCTCCAGTGTGTGGTTTCTCTCTCCTCTGAATCGAAATGGCCTGACCAGGATGAAAAGGCAAAAGGTCCCAGCACAACAGCTAAGGTGTAATGGTAGCCCAGGAAGTGGACTTGCAACAGCAACCGAAAAGGTGTGGGAGAGCGTCAGGTGAAAAACGGAACCGCCTGGAGCAGGATTTGTATGTTAATACAGAAAATTCTGAAAAGTGACTATAGAAAGAAAACCAGTTTTTTGTTGTTGTTTTTTTTTGTCTTTTGGGGCTAATGGACCAAGACCTGGGAAAAAAAATACGGAACTTTGATGTTATATATCAGTGATGGCGAACCTTTTAGAGCAGTGGTTCTCAACCTTTTTAATGCCGCGACCCCCAACCGGTCGTAAGTCGACTACTCAACCGGTCATAAGTCGAGGACTACTCAACTGGTGCAGCACCGTTTGCAGAATGGGACTTTTGGCGGGCTCAGCAGGGCAGAGACAGCCGGGGCAATTCCTATTGGCTTTGGAAAGCCAATAGAATTAGACTCTATTCAAGAGAGTCTATTCTATTGGCTTTCAAAAGCCAATAGAATAAAAGAGAGTAGCACAGCTAAGGAAAAGGGGGAAAAAAATGGCGGACTGCATTGTTTGGCGACCCCCCGTGAAATGGTCGTTCGACCCCAAATGGGGTCCCGACCCACAGGTTGAGAACCACTGTCTTAGAGACCGAGTGCCCAAACTGCAACCCCAAACCCACGTATGCATTGTCGGGTGCCAGGCGGTGTGGCCTATTGGGTGGGCGTGGCCCATTGGGTGGGCGTGGCTGTGGTGGTAATGGCAGACTGGGTGGGACTAAAAAGTTCAATCAATCAATTCCAACTTTGCAAGATCTTTTTTTTTTTCCCACGAGAAGTTGAAATTGACTGATTGAACCTTTTTTTTTTTTTGCACACGGCGGCGGAGGCCTAAAGCAAAAAGGTTTTATAAAACCCAGCTGAAGGCCTAGGACTGGGGCGACGGCGCGTGCGCCCACAGAGAGGGCTCTGAGTGCCGCCTCTGGCATGCGTGCCATAGGTTCGCCACCACGGTTATATATGTTGACAGCAGCAAGATTACTCTACGCTCAGAAATGGAAGACCCCATCGATTCCCACAATGGAGAAAGGGTTGGAAAAAAACTGATGGAGGTAGACGAGACAGCAAAATTGACTGTACTGATTAAAGAAAAGAATGCGAATACTTTTATTGCTACGTGGAAACCGCTTCTGGACTTTCTGCTTGAGGTGGGGAAAAAAATGAAATTTTTGATTTTAGGCTTTCCTGATGATATAGATTTGTGGTGATCGAAATGGCTAGATTATATTCTTTTGTAAAAGTAAAAAGTTGAGGGTTGATGTTGATATTCTATTTTACTGCGGCAAAGAAAGTAGGAAGTCAATGATCTTTTTTTTTCTTTTTTCCCCTTGCTTTCTCCCACTTTTCTATATTCCCTTTCCCCTTCCCTAGCTCTCCTGCTATTTACTTTTGTATTTTCTTTGTATTGTATACTATAAACCAGTGGTGGCGAACCTATGGCACGGGTGCCAGAGGCGGCACTCAGAGCCCTCTCTGTGGGCACACACGCGCCATCACCCCAGTGCTAGGCCTTCAGCTGGGTTTTATAAAACCTTTTCGCTTTAGGCCTCCGCCGCCGTGTGCAAAAAAAAAAAAGGTACAATCAGTCAATTTCAACTTCTCGCGGGAAAAAAAAAAGCTCTCACAAAGTTGGAATTGATTGATTGAACTTTTTAGTCCCACCCAGTCTGCCGTTACCACCGCAGCCACGCCCACCCAATGGGACATGCCCACCCAATGGGCAACACCCACCCAATGGCCACACCCACCCAGCACTCGAGGACGCATAAGTGGGTTTTGGGTTGCAGTTTGGGCACTCGGTCTCTAAAAGGTTCGCCATCACTGCTATAAACTAATAAAAAAAAAACAATACTAACAAAAAATGGAACTGCCAATTGCGTTCCAGATCCAAATTAACCTTCGCTCTCTGAGCATCCTTTTCCCAGAATGCCCTGGGATTGGGAATGTCTATTTCTTTGAATTCTAGGGATCCCCTGGCAGACTCGTCTCTGCTCTCCAAAGTTTTTTCCAATAGAGAAGGGAGGCCTGGCACCTTGGACCTAACACCGATTTTTCACAAAGGCAGAAAGCTGACGGGTCACCTGGCTGCAGTGCCTCTCGTCACGGAACTGGAGGTGGGCTGGGGGAGCGTCATGATGTCTTCGTCGCCACCATCTTCGTAGAAACTAGCCAGGGCAATCTGAAAAAAGAGGAAGGGCATCACATGTTAAGAAATGACGCCATCGGCCACCTCTGACCGTCCATCCCAGCAGGGGGAATCATCTTTGGGGAGTCCTTGACTTACAGCAGTTCATTTAAGGCAGTGGTTCTCAACCTTCTTAATGCCGCGACCCCCAACCGGTCGTAAGTTGAGGACTACTCAACTGGTCGTAAGTCGAGGACTACTCAACTGGTGCAGCACCGTTTGCAGAATGGGACTTTTGGCGGGCTCAGCAGGGCAGAGACAGCCTGGACAATTCCTATTGGCTTTGGAAAGCCAATAGAATGAGACTCTATTCAAGAGAGTCTATTCCACGGGTCGGCAACCTGCGGCTCCGGAGCCGCATGCGGCTCTTTGAGCCTTCCCATGTGGCTCCCAGCCTCCTCTGCCTTTGCAGAGAGAGACAGAGACAGAGACAGAGAGAGGCAATTGCGATTCCCTGCTTCTTCTCTCTCTGTGTGTGTGTGTGTGTGTGTGTGTTTGTGTGTGTGTGTGTATGTGTTTGTGTGTGTGTAAAAGAGAGTGCACTCACAGTGTTCTCCGAGGAGCTGAAAAGCTTTCTGGACGGAGCTCCTCCCTTTCCTGCGTCTCTGCAGGAAACAGGAAGCAGGAAGGGCAGGAGAGAGCTAGCTAGCCCAGCTAGGCTGTCTCAGGAATTCTGGGAGTTGAAGTCCATGAGTCATAAAAGAGACGAGGTTTTCTACCCCTGAGCTTGTTGGACAACAGCTTGAAGCTTGCCAGGTGAGCAGCAGATAGGAGAGGGGGGAGAAAGAGAGAGGGAGGGAGGGAGAGAGAGAGAGTGTGGGGGGGGGGAAGAAGAGTGGTAGACCAAGGGCAGATAGAGAGGGAGGGAGAGAGAGACCCTTTTGACATCTAAAATGAAGATAACACTGCATATATCCTTTTTTTCCCTCTGTGTGTATGTAATTTTATTCTCTTAAAGCATTCTCTTGGTGATCATTGTTTTAATAGTATGGATATTCCCAAGAGTCATATTTTTACTTTCATTTTTAATGTGTGTGTGTGTGTGTGTGTGTGTGTGTGTATACATACACACACACACACACACACACACAAACACACACACACACACACACACACACCTATAATAAAGGTAAAAAAGGATATATGCAGTGTTATCTTCATTTTAGATATCAAAAGGGTTTTGCGGCTCCCGGTGTTTTGTTTTTGGTGGGAAATGGGTCCAAGTGGCTCTTTGAGTGTTTTGGGTTGCCTACCCCTGGTCTATTCTATTGGCTTTCACAAGCCAATAGAATAAAAGGGAGGAGCACAGCGAAGGAAAAGGGGGGAAAAAATGGCGGACTGCGTTGTTTGGCGACTCCCGTGAAATGGTCATTCGACCCCAAATGGGGTCCCGACCCACAGGTTGAGAACCACTGATTTTAAGGACTGCCCGAAGTTACGACAAGAATGAAAAAAAGCGGGAAAGAAATTGTAAATTGACAATGTCAACTTCTGATAAAGAAAATGTATATAAAATGTTTTATAGACGGCACTTGCCACCAGCAAGATTAGCAGGAATGTTTAAAAATATGTCAGGTAGACGTTGGAAATGTAAACATAACTCAGGTGCGTATTATGTTTGGTGGGCATGTGACAAAGCAAAGAATTATTGGGAAAAAAAGACATACTTGGTTAGAAAAGATGTTGGGAGAATGTGTAGACTTTAAACCTGAACTTTTTTTTTAAAATTAGGTATAAGGCCAGAAAAGATTAACAAACAAAGCCTATATTTGATTTTACACGTCACGACAGCGGCAAGAATAATATTTGCGCAAGGTTGGAAAAATGAAGGAATACAACTAGAGGAAGAAATAATTAAAAAAAAATATTGGAATGCGCAGAGAAGGGCAGACTAACTATGAGACTGAAAGAAAAAGAAGAAACAGAATATTATCAAACATGGGACTTACTTTACCAATGGTTAGAGGAAAGAATAAAGGATTAGGAATAAAATATGTATTAGCGTTGTTAAACACAGACAGCACGTTGGTTGAAAAATTATTATTGTATGTAAAGAAAAATTAATAAAATCTTATTTTAAAAAAAAGAATGAAAAAAGTGACCTTATGACCGTTTTTCTCCACTTATGATCACTGCAGCGTGGCCCAGGGTCACGTGATCAAAATTCAGATGTTTGGCAATTGGCATGTACTTAGGACGGTTGCAGTGTCCGTGCATGCGGGTATGTGTGTGTTTGTGTGTGTGGGATCTGATTCTCTTTCAGGAGACCTTCTGTCAAGCAAAAGTCAATGGGAAAGCCAGAGTCACTTAACAACTGCCTGTCTATAAACTTAACAATTGCAGTGATTCACTTAATAACGGTGGCAAAGGTCGTAAAATGGGGCAAAACTGACGTAACTCTCTTTGCCAAACGACAGTTTGAGGCTCTGTTGTGGTCGTACGTCGAGGACAACCTGTAATGGAACCTGCCCATTATAGTTGTCAAGGAGAGAAGCAACCTAGAACTAAGGAGAAACTTCCTGACAATGAGAACAATTAGCCAGGGGAACAACCTGCCTCCAGAAGCTGCGAATGCTCCAACACTGGAAGTTTTTAAGAAGAAACTGGACAGCCATTTGTCGGAAATGGTATAGGGTTTCCTGCCTGAACAGAGGGCTGGACTGGATGACCTCCAAGGTCCCTTCCAACTTTATTACTATTATTATTGTTGTTGTCATAAACAATCAGAAAACTGATCATGTGACCAACGTGACATTGAACAGAACAGAAATTCTTTAATGGCCAAGTGTGATCGGACACACAAGGAATTTGTCTCCGGTGCAGAAGCAGAAAGTCTACATAATATGTAGCACTGTTCTGGATTTTGAAGGGGGAGAAAGCTGAATTCAGGAATGTCGCAAGGATCTCTCTGGAAAGACCACACAATTTTGCTCTTTTCTCGCAATCCAGACTGCGTGGGAAGCTCTCCGCCTTTGCACAACCGCAATTTTTCACTGGCAAAGAGCTCGTCCCAAATAGAGAGATTTACTTATTTTTTTATTTATTTTTTTTTTTAAAAAGATGTTTTGTGGAACAAAAAAGGTCACAAGCTCCAAAGAGGTATCAGATTGCTCACTTTGGAAAAAACACAAAGCAAATGCTTTCAAAGGTTGTCAGGATTCTATTTTTGGCTGAGTCGCCTCTTTGCGCTCTGCAATATTCATGACCGAGTGTGACATATTTTGAACCAGGAAAATGGAGGCATTCATGCAAGATGCTTAATCAGGCCAGTAAAAGAACTTGTGGACTTCAACTCCCAGAATTCCTCAGCCAGGCACACTGAGGGGAAAGGGAGAGGTTGCCAAGCTGAGCCAGGCTGGCTCAGGAATTCTGGGAGTTGAAGTCCACCAGTCATAAAAGGGCCAACTTTGAAGACCCGGGGTTTAAATATTTAAATATTTTTTCCTCATGGTCCCGTGATCAAAATTCAGGCATTTGGGCAGGGGTAGGCAACCTTGGCTCTTTTATGACTCGTGGACTTCAACTCCCAGAATTCCTGGGCCAGCATGGGGAAACTATGGCCCCCTCATGACTCGTGGACTTCAACTCCCAAAATTCCTGAGCCAACACGGGGGAACTATGGCCCCTTTATCTCATGGACTTCAACTCCCAGAATTCCTGAGCCAACATGGGGGAACTATGGCCCCTTTATGACTTGTGGACTTCAACTCCCAGAATTCCTGAGCCAGCCTGGCTCAGCTTGGAAACCTCTCCCTTTCCCCTCAGCATGGCTGGCTCAGGAATTCTGGGAGTTGAAGTCCACGAGTCATAAAAGAGCCAAGTTTGAAGACCCCTGGTTTAAATATTTAAATATTTTTTCCTCATGGTCCCGTGATCAAAATTCAGGCATTTGGGCAGGGGTAGGCAACCTTGGCTCTTTTATGACTCGTGGACTTCAACTCCCAGAATTCCTGAGCCAGCATGGGGGAACTATAGCCCCCTCATGACTCGTGGACTTCAACTCCCAGAATTCCTGAGCCAGCATGGGGGAACTATAGCCCCCTCATGACTCGTGGACTTCAACTCCCAGAATTCCTGAGCCAGCATGGGGGAACTAGGCCCCCTCAGGACCCGTGGACTTCAACTCCCAGAATTCCTGGGCCAACATGGGGGAACTATGGCCCCTTTATTTCGTGGACTTCAACTCCCAGAATTCCTGAGCCAACATGGGGGAACTATGGCCCCTTTATGACTCGTGGACTTTAACTCCCAGAATTCCTGAGCCAGCCTGGCTCAGCTTGGAAACCTCTCCCTTTCCCCTCAGCATGGCTGGCTCAGGAATTCTGGGAGTTGAAGTCCACGAGTCATAAAAGAGCCAGGGTTGCCTACCCCTGCCCAATGCCTGAATTTTGATCATGGGACCATGAGGAAAAAATATTTAAATATTTAAACCAGGGTCTTCAAACTTGGCTCTTTTATGACTCGTGGACTTCAACTCCCAGAATTCCTGAGCCAGCATGGGGGAACTATAGCCCCCTCATGACTCGTGGACTTCAACTCCCAAAATTCCTGAGCCAACATGGGGGAACTATGGCCCCTTTATCTCATGGACTTCAACTCCCAGAATTCCTGAGCCAACATGGGGGAACTATGGCCCCTTTATGACTTGTGGACTTCAACTCCCAGAATTCCTGAGCCAGCCTGGCTCAGCTTGGAAACCTCTCCCTTTCCCCTCAGCATGGCTGGCTCAGGAATTCTGGGAGTTGAAGTCCACGAGTCATCAAAGGGCCCAGTTTGAAGACCCTTGCTATAGAATATATAAGGCAGGTATGGAGGAGCATTTTGAGGAAATCTTGAAGGAACATTCAAGTAAATGATTGATTGACACATTGACAGACTGCTTCCTTAAATTGGTATGCTGACAATCTCACCACCAGGCAACTCTAGACTGCTTACAACGAACTATAAATGGCAATATCAAACATTTAAACAATAAATATCAGCATGATCAGTAACAGAGATAGGGATTGCTGCAGATGGCTATTCACCCAGCTTACACACTGATAATCCTCAATTTATGACCACCACGGAGCCAAAAATTTAAGCGAGGCAGTTGTTAAGGGAGTCTTGCCCCATTTTACGACCTTTCTTGCCACTGTCGTTAAGCGAATCGCTGCAGGTGTTCAGTTAGTAACACAGTTGTTAAACGAATCTGACTTCCCCATGGACTTCGCTTGTCCAAAGTTCGCAAAAGGGGATCACGTGACTCCAGGACACTGCGACCGACATAAATAGGAACCAGTTGTCAAACATCTGAGTTCTGATCGCATGATCATGGGGACCTGCAATGGTCATAAGTCTGAAAAAAGGGTCATAAGTCGCTTTTTCCAATGTTGTTGTCATCTTGAACGGTCACTAAGCGAACTGTTGTTAAGTTGAGGACTACTTGGAACGCAAAGGAACAAGAGCCTCTGTCAGGGACTGACTGGCTGACTGGCCTCAAATCGTACAGTTTTGCTGGAACATCAGATACACACAGAGGATGGGATGGGATGGGATGGGATGGGATGGGATGGGATGGGATGGGATGGGATGGGATAGAATAGAATAGAATAGAATAGAATAGAATAGAATAGAATAGAATAGAATAGAATAGAATAGAATAGAATAGAATAGAATAGAAGGTGGGGTGGGGTGGTAGGGTAGGGTAGGGTAGGGTAGGGTAGGGTAGAGTAGGGTAGGGTAGAGTAGAGTAGAGTAGAATAGGGGATGGGATGGGATGGGATGGAGTAGAGTAGAGTAGAGTAGAGAAGAGAAGAATAGGGGATGGGATGGGATGGGATGGGATCGGATCGGGTAGAGTAGAGTAGAGTAGAATAGAACAGAATAGAAAATATGGAATGGAATAGAATAGAATAACATATAGAATAGAATAACATATAAAATAGAATAACATATAGAATAGAATAACATAGAATAGAATAGGATAGAATAGAATAACAGATAGGATAGGATAGGATAGGATAGGATAGGATAGGATAGGATAGGATAGGATAGGATATGGGGTAGAGTAGGGTGGGGTGGGGTGGATGGGGTGGGATGGCATAGAGTAGAGTAGAGTAAAGTAGAATAGAATAGAATAGGAATAGAAAATATGGAATGGAATAGAATAGAATAACATATAGAATAGACTAGGATAGAATAGAATAACAGATAGGATAGGATAGGATATGAGGTAGGGTGGGGTGGGATGGCATGGCATGGCATGGCATGGCGTAGAATAGAGTAGAGTAGAGTAGAATAGAATAGAATGGAATGGAGATTGGAATGGAATTGAATTGAAAATAGAATAGAATAGAATAGAATAGAATAGAATAGAATAGAATAGAATAGAATAGAATAGAATAACAACTTTGTCACTTTGACTGTACACTAATCGGCATACATTACAATGAAATTCCATTGCATAGTATACTGTTTTACTTGTTATAGTTGTCCTATCTGTTATATCTTGGTACAGACCTTGGAAATTCACAACCAACCGCAGCATTTCTCAAATGATTTGAATAACATGCCACTGGCTAGCCTGGAAGACTCCCTCACCCTGGGCATGTAGATAATGGGAACCATTTCCACCTCCCTGGCAGCAGAACCATTGCAAAGAGAAGGCAAACCAGTTTTTCCTGAATCCCGTTGCCAAATTGCAACTGGTTGCAAAAGATGCCACGATGATCCATGGGTGGCATCTGGTGCCCGCCAAGGAGTCCCGATTCCCTCCACGTCAAAGAGGGAGAAGCAAATTAATTTTCAGTGCCAAATCTGCCTTGATGTCTTGCTTCTTTCTCAGGGATGTGCCACTTTGCCATCCCTTCCAATGAGGGTGTATCTGCTCTTTTTGGAAAAAAAAAATGGAAATGATTTTTGGGACCAAACCTGTACAGATAGTCCTCCACTTACAGTCACTCATTTAGTGACCATTCAAAGTCACAAGGGCACTGAGAAAAGTGATTTAACAACCTTTTTTTTTTACATACTCACGACCACTGCAGCATCTCCTTGATCGTGTGATTGAAATTCGGACGCTTGGCAACTGACTCATATTTACGACGGTTGCAGTGTCCCCCCCGGGAGGTCACGTGATCCCCTTTAGCGACCTTCTGACAAGCAAAGTCAATGGGGAAGCCGGATTTGCTTAACGACCGTGCCACTATCTTAAGAACTGCAATGATTCACTTAACAACGGTGGCAAGGTTGTAAAAATAGGGCAAAAGTCACTTAACTGTTCATTTAGCAACGGAGGTTTTGGGTTCTGTTGTGGTCATAAATCGGGGTCTACCTGTAATATTGAAGTCAAGGCAAACACACACACACATACACACACACACACACACACAAAACAGTTGAGCACGGGCATGTATAGCCCTTCCCCACCTCCCTGAACTCTTTATTACATTTATTTATTGTTCAATTTATACACAGGTCGTCCTCAACTTACAACGGTTCGTTTAGTGACTGTTCAAAGTTACAACAGCACTGAAAAAAGGGACTTATGACCATTTTTTCACCCTTACAGCCATTGCAGCATCCTTGCGGTCACACAATGACAATTCAGACACTTGGCAATCGACTCATATTTACGACGGTCTCAGTGTCCCCGGGAGTCACTTGACCCCCCCCTTTTCTGATCTTCCGACATGCAAAGTCAACGGGGAAGCCAGATCCGCTTAACGACCGTGTGACTCGTTTAACAACCCCCAGCAGCGATTCTCTTTAACCACCGTAGCTCAAAAGGTCGTCCAACGGGGCAAAACTCACCGAACATCTGTCTCGTTCAGCAACAGACATTCTTGGGTGGGGGGGGAGGTCCATTGCAGTCGTAACTCGAGGACCGCCTGCACCACCCATCTTGCAGTTGAGCAAAAGAATTTCTCAAAGGAGGCTGACTTTGCAGGGAGGGAAGGAGGGAGGGAGGGGAGAAGAGGTCACCTCACCTGTACTACATAGCCCATCATCCTCTGGCCGGGTGTGCAAAGACAGGGCAAGAGAGAAAACTCTCCCGCTTCTTTCCTCCCACCCCCCCCTTGCAATAATCTTGCCCGTCCCCTCGCCCCCCCCCCACGGCAGAAGAGAGGGGAGGGTCCTTCCCAATAAAGCCCCCTCCCCAATTTCAATGCAGAAGAAGAAGGGGGGGCTTTGTCCAAGAGGGGAGGGGGACTGGTCTTGCCCGGCGCCCCCTTTGACAGACAGGTGTGATGAGGTGGAAAAGGGGGGCAACTAGCTAGAAAAGCCCCCCCAAGGGAAGAGTCCCCCCCCCAACTTCCAGCCGGGGGAGGGAGAGAGAAAGGCGGGATCCCGGCCTCCCCCCCCACCCGACTCCCCTGGGAAGGTAGGGAGGCTCCGGGAAGTCTTTTTCCCCCCTCCCGCCGGGCCTACCTGCAGATCCCCGCCCGCCGACTCCAGGAAGAAGCGCGCCCGCTCCTCCTCGGCCCCGGTCACGGCCACGAACTCCCTCAACGCTTCTTCGCGGTCCGCCATCTTGCCCGGTGCAACCGCCAAAGCGCTCCGGCCGCGCCGCCGCCGCCCGCAAAGCGACGCTCGCCGCTTCCGCCCGCCCTTGAAGGAGACTTCCGCCCCTCGCGCCCTTCCGTGGGTCACACTCGGAAGGCCTCCGAATGGAAACGAATGCCACGCACGGAGGTGCCGGACGGGGGATAAAGATGGTGGGGTTGGGGGATCGGAGAGGTAGATGGGTTGGTACTCAGATCGGCCGCCTTCGTCTCTGCTGTCTGAGGGTGCTCGCTGAGCTTGGTCGTTTTCTTGCAGACGTTTCGTGACCCTACAAGGGAACATCATCAGTACTAGAAGAGAGTGGGGTTTGCAGGGAGGAGGAGGAGGAGAAGTAGGAGAGGAACTGTGGGGTCTTTGGTGCTCTCCGAACTTGCTTGTTTTCTTACAGACGTTTCATCACCCAACTAGGGAATATCATCAGTGCTACAAGGGAGGGGGGTTTGCAGAGAGGGCGAGAGGAGGGGGATGCAGGACTGGAGATTCCCTTTCTGTTCTCCAAGTTTGATTGTTTTCTTGCAGGCATTTCATGAGGCAATTAAGTAACATCACCGAAGCTACTACTAGTACTGATGACATTACCTAGTTTGGGTCATGAAAGGTCTGCAAGAAAACCACCAAGTTCAGAGAGCACCAAGGATTCCACAGCCCTTCTCCTCCTCCTCCTCCTCTCCACAAACACTCCTCCCTTCTATCACTGATGATGTTCCCTAGTTGGGTCATAAAATGTCTGCAAGAAAACCACCAAGCTTAGAGAGCACCAGGGATGACACAGTCCTCCTCCTCTTCCTCCTCCTCCTCCCCACAAAACCCCACACCCTTTTAGCACTGATGATGTTCCCTAGTTGGGTCATAAAACGTCTGCAAGAAAACCACCAAGTTCAGAGACCACCAAGGACCCCACAGTCCTCCTCCTCCTCCTCTCCACACACTCACCTCCCTTCTAGCACTGATGACGTTGCCTAGTTTGGGTCATGAAATGTCTGCAAGAAAACCACCAAGGGCGCCTCATGTCAGCCCTGAGCTACAAATATTCCCCTTTATTGATCTCTGCTGTCTGTCAGGGAAGTCGAGCAGTTTTATTCCCTGCAGATTTGGAAGGTGGCATGTTGAGAAAGACTAAGCTGTGCACCCACAGATAAGAGAAGCATCCTTTGTGCGATGACCGATAAAGGACAATATTTATAGCTCAGGGTTGAACTGTGGGGTTGCTCTCTCTGAGCTTGGCAGTTTTGTTGCAGTCGTTTCGTGACCCAACTGGGGAACATCATCAGTGCTAGAAGAGGAAGGGGTTTGCACTCCCCACTAGCACTGATGATGTAACCTAGTTGGCTCATGAAACATCTGTAAGAATACGACGAAAGCTCAGAGAGTACCAAGGACCTCTCAACACAAATGATGCTGGCCAACTGAAGAACACATTCCAATCCAAACCCAATATATTTGAACTGTATATAAAGTGATTTCTTCCCTATCCAATGGTCTTCATACTTTGTAGCTGTGGGAGACCTATCTTTTACTTGTGCATAAATAAAAAGATATGAATCGGCCTTCCTAGTTCCAATACTTTTTTGCAAAGGACACACTAGCTTAAGAGTCTCGCCATGGTTTATGGCTAGCCGTTTATTCAGGTTCCTCGCTTTCCTCATTCATACAACAGAAGTGCACAAACCTTCCAGTCACTGCCATCCCTTCTGGTCTTTCTCTCTCTCCCCTCAAAGAAGGATCTTGGAATCTATCTATCTATCTATCTATCTATCTATCTATCTATCTATCTATCTATCTATCTATCTATCTATCTATCATCTACCTACCTACCTACCATCCATCCATCTATCTAATCATTTATCTATTATTTATTTTATCATCTATCTGCCTGCCTGCCTGTCTACCTATCATCTATATCTATCTATCTATCTATCTATCTATCTATCTATCTATCTATCTATCTATCTATCTATCTATCTATCTCTCCATCTATATCTATCTATCTATCTATCTATCTATCTATCTATCTATCTATCTATCTTTTATTTATTAAACAAATTTATCTAGCCACCCAGCTTGCACAGACATGACACCAGGCAGCTTACAAAATGTAATTTTGCATTTCAAAATAGTGTTTATTTTATTTATATTGCTGGAAAGTTATCTGAGGTGGATTTTCTTCCTGGAAAGTGAAATATAAACAAGCGTAATGCAGAAATATTTTATGTTCATCTTCGTGTTCTCCAGATACATTCACTCAACCACTTTGCCTCTGGAAGGGCTGTTTTCATTGCAAGTTGCCTTGAATATTCTTTCTGAATGAAAAGGCAGCATATAAATCTGCATTCTCCCTCTCTCTAGTACAAGTAATCCACTTACAACCGTAACTGAGCTCAAAATTTCTGTTGATAAGTGAGACAGAGATAGATAGATAGACAGACAGACAGACAGACAGACAGACAGACAGACAGACATGATCAGTGGTGGGATTCAGATATGTGAATAACCAGTTCTCTGTGTGGATGCTGCTTCCAGAAGTCCGTTTGGGCCTGGGCAAAAAAAAAAATTAGCTACCAGTTCTGCCGAAGTGGTGCGAACTGGCTGAATCCCACCACTGGATGGATGAATGGATGGATGGATGGATGGATGGGTGGGTGGATGGGTGGGTGGATAAGTAGGTAGTAGGTAGGTTGGTTGGTTGGTTGGTAGGTAGGTAGGTAGGTAGGTAGGTAGGTAGGTAGATAGATAGATAGATAGATAGATAGATAGATAGATAGATAGATAGATAGATAGATAGATAGATAGATAGATAGATCAGTGGTGGGATTCAAATATGCGAACAATTGGTTCTGTGTGTATGCTGCTTCCGGAAGTCCATTCTGGGCTGGATAGATGGATGGGTGGATGGGTGGGTAGGTAGGTAGGTAGGTAGGTAGGTAGGTAGGTAGGTAGGTAGGTAGGTAGGTAGGTAGGTAGATAGATAGATAGATAGATAGATAGATAGATAGATAGATAGATAGATAGATAGATAGATAATGATCAGTGGTGGATTTAAATATGGGAACCGGTTCTCTGTGTGGATGCCGCTTCCGGAAGTCCATGCTGGGCCTGGGCAACCAAAAATTAGCTACCGGTTCTGCTGAAGTGGTGCAAACCGGCTGAATCCCACCACTGGTTATGTGTCTGAATTTTGATCAGGTGATCATGGGGATGCTGCAACGATTGCTAGTGTGAAAAACAGTCGTAGGTCACTTTTTTCAGTGTGCGGTAACTTCGAACGGTCACTAAGTGGACAACTATCTGTAGGGGATCCGAACTAAAGCAGAGAATCGAGTCTACATTTCTATCTCTATGATCCTGCTTACGCATCCCTGACGCTTCCGCTGCGCATCCCTGTACCCTTTTCCCTCTCTCTCTCTAGGAAAGTTCCATCTCCACCCGGCTTTATCAATCACAGATGGGCGGGCCGACGCATGCGCCTGGGGAAGGTAAGGCCCGCCTGCTGACGCCTCCGCAGCCTGTCCCGCCAAGGCGATTGGTGGCGGCGGCGGTCACGTAGGCGGAAGGCGGGACCGTGTGCGTGGAAGAGGGGGGAAAAGGAAGACACGGAGTCCGGCAGGCCGCCGGGATGAGCCTCTGCGGTGGTCAGAGACCATGACCCAGCCGAGGCCGCCACGGCTGCATCACAACGCGGAGCGAGGTACGTAGGCGGGCGCCTCGGGCCGGAGCAGGGCCGCCCGCCGCTCGGCCACCTCAGAGGACGCGAGGCCTTCGCTGAGGGAAAAGTTGATGCTATGAGGAAAAGCGAGGGGGCGTGGCCGGGCCGAGGCCCCGCCCCGCTTCTCCTCTGACGGGGCTGCGGGAGCCAATCAGAAGAGGCGGCTCCACCAAGAGGCGGGCAATGAGGGCCTGGTTTGACCCCCCCTCCCTTTAGCCTCTTTTTAAGCAGGCAAACAAACAGGCGGAAATTCAACCGGGCAAGCCTCCCCGCCTGTTAAAAAGTCCCGCTCCCCTGTATGAGCCGATGGGAAGGCTCCAGTTCTTCCCCAATCTAATGTCGTCCTGTTCTTGAAGGCCGCCTGCGGTTTCCCACCTCGCAGGGTTGTTGTTGTGGGTAAAACAGGAGGAAGGAGTGTGGGATAGGGGTGCTGCCTTGAGTTATTTGTAAATTTATTTATTATTATTAATAATAATAATTATTTTTATTATTATGTTGGAAGGGACCTTTGAGGTCATCTAGCCCAACCCCCTGCTCAGGCAGGAAACCCTATCCAGTGTTTCTCAACCTTGACAATTTGAAGGCATGTGGACTTCAACTCCCAGAATTCCACAGCCAGCATTGCTGGCTGTGGAATTCTGGGAGTTGAAGTCCACATGCCTTCAAATTGTCAAGGTTGAGAAACACTGCTTGATTATATTTGTAAATAATTATCTACATACACGTATGGGGGTGTACACACATACACACAAAAAACACAACTCACACATGTGGGTAGTCCTTGAATTCGGACCACAGTGGAGCCCCAAATTCCCGCTACTCAGGTGGTTAAGCGAGGTTTGCTCCAGTTTACTACAATCTCTTGCCTCGGTTGTTAAGGGAATCACGGCGGTCGATAAGTCAGTAACTTGGTTGTTGAGTGAATCGGGCTTCCCCCCCCCCCATTGGCTTTGGTTGTCAGAAGATTGCAAAAGGAGAATCACGTGACACCCCACCCGGATGCTGCGACCGTCGTAAGTATGAGTCGGTTGCCAAGCGGCTGAATTTTCGATCACATGACCCTGGGCGATGCTGCAACGGTCACAAGTGGGAAGAAAGGTCATCGGTCTTTTTTTTCCCAGGGCTGTTGTAACTTTGAACGGTCACTAAAAGAGTAAGGTTTAAGTTGAGGAATGCCTGTATTTATTTATTTATTTATTTATTTATCACATTTAGAATGCCCATCACCCATCATACTCTTTAGCTGATAAAACAAAAATTTACCTTTTCGTAAACTCGATTACTCAGAAAAAGTGCTATCAGACCCAACTTTCACCACCGTACAGATAGTCTTTGACTTACGACCACAGTTGTAAGTCAAGGACTGTTGTAAGTTAAGGACTACCAAGAGAGATAAATTCATATGGGTATGGATATATATTTATGTGTGTAGATTGGATGGATGGATGACGGAGTGGATAGAGATGATGGATGATAGAGGGGAGAGAGAGAGAGAGAGAGAGAGAGAGATTATGATAGATGATAGGGAGTAGATAGAGATGCTGGATGGATGGATGGATGGATGGATAGAGTAGATGGAGTAGATAGATGGAATAGAAAGATGGAGTAGATAGGATGATAGATGATAGAGGGGGTACATAGAGATAGATGATAGTTGATAGATGATAGCAAGTAGATAGATCATAGATGATAGAGGGGGTAACGATAGATAGATAGATAGATAGATAGATAGATAGATAGATAGATAGATAGAGAATATGATATAGATAAGAGATAGAGAGATATAGAATATGAGAGAGAGACTTAGACTATGACATTGATAGATAGATGGATAGATAGATAGATAGATAGATAGATAGATAGATAGATAGATAGATAGATAGATGTGGATGGATAGAGAGAATATGATATAGATAAGAGATAGATAGATAGAGATAGAATATGAGAGAGAGACAGAATATGACATAGATAGATAGATAGATAGATAGATAGATAGATATGGATGGATAGAGAGAAAGAATGTGATATAGATAAGAGATAGATAGATAGATATAGATAGAATATGAGAGAGAAAGACTTAGAATAGAGATAGATAGATAGATAGATAGATAGATAGATAGATAGATAGATAGATAGATAGATAGATAGATAGATAGATAGATAGATAGGCAGGCAGGCAGGCAGGCAGGCAGGCAGACACACAGACACACATCAAGTAGCAAACCTATGTGACCATTTATTTTTGCTGGCCCTGGCATACTTTACGGGGGAGAAATCCAATCCCCAGCTGTCCCCCAAGGCAATGTTTGGGGAAAGAAAGAGCATTGCCTCCTGCAAATGCCAAAGTGTGTGTGTGTGTGTGGGAGGGAGGGAGGGAGGGAGGGACTTCCCTTCTGCTCTTTAGGACCCCCCCCCCAGCAATTTAGCTGGAAAGGAAGGTGAAGTGACTAACACACAGTTGTATAAACCAACTAGCACTTCCTCAGCATAAGCTGAAATCAGCATAACGTCAGGAGATTTGCATTTCAGCAGGATTTTTTTTGTGTTTTGTTTTGCTCTGCTTGCATTTTTAGAGATTGGTTGCAACAGAACAGAGTTGTCAATTTCCAGGTGTTTGGCTGGGTTTAATAACCATTTCAGTCCCTGTAATCATCAGAGGGTGGGTTGATAACTCAAAAGGCACCGACTCCTTTCTACGCTAAGGAAATGCAGGTATTCCTCGACTTTCGTACATAATTGGGACCAGAATTACTCTGGCTAAGCAAGCTGGTTGTTCAATGAGTCACAGCCAACTTTGCAATCTTTTTGCCAGCATTGTTAAGCAAATCAAGCAACCATTCAGAAGATTACCTGGCCATTCAGCAAATCATGTGGTCATTCAGCGAATCCAGTTTAATTTGCTTGCTGGGAAAGTTGCAGGTGGCAATCCCCTGACCTGGGATGGTGTGCCTGTCACAAATCCACGCCAGTTGCCAAGTGCCCGAATTTTGATCCCTTGACTCTAAGGTGCTACGATGGGTGTGAGTTGTCAATCAGTTGTCAATCACTTGCTGGAATTGGGTATGTCTAGTTTAATGAAGGGAAGGACAAGGGGGGACATGATAGCAGTCTTCCAATATCTCAGGGGCTGCCCCAAAGAAGAGGGAGTCAAGGAGAAACTTCCTGACAGTGAGAACAATTAACCAGTGAAACAACCTGCCTCCAGAAGCGGTGAATGCTCCAACACTGGAAGTTTTTAAAAAGATACTGGACAGCTATTTGTCTGAAATGGTATAGGGTTTCCTGCCTGAGTAGGGGGTTGGACTAGATGACCTTCCAACAACAATAACATCATCATCATCATTATTATTATATATTTTCTTCAGCAGAGTTGCTAAACGAACGATTATGAGTTGAACTATAGCTATATCCACAGGTCTTGGCAGAGGAGCAACTGGCCAGAGTTTTTAATAACTGTCGACTATCCAGTTGAAATAAAAAGGAGGAGGAGAATGGAGTCCAGGTAGTCCTCGATTTACAACTGTTCATTTAGTGACCATTCAGAGTTACGACAGGGCTGGAAAAAAGTGGCCGATGACCGTTTTTCACACAACCGTTGCAGCGTTCCCTACTCAGGTGATCCAAATTCAGATGCTTGACAACTGACTCATATTTACGACGGTGGCCGTCTCCCAGGGGTCACAAGATCCCCCTTTTGCGACCTGCTGACAAGCAAAATCAACGGGGAAGCCAGATTCACTACTCACTTGACAAATGTCATGATTCACTTAACAACTGTGGCAAGAAAGGTCATCAAATGGGGCAAAACTCACTAAACCGGGGGTCTCACTTAGGGACTAAGATTGTGGTCGTAAGTTGAGGACTGCCTGTATTAGCTGTGTAACCCACTTTGAGTTATTTACAAAGGTGGGGTAACCATCTAATACAGTGTTTCTCAACCTTGACCATTTTAAGGCATGTGGACTTCAATTCCCAGAATTCCACAGCCAGCATTGCTGGCTGTGGAATTCTGGGAGTTGAAGTCCACATGCCTTCAAATGGTCAAGGTTGAGAAACACTGATCTAATAAATAAATACTATTTCTCATCGGCCGATCTTTTTCACATACCTCTTCCTTGGGTGAATACCGTTCCCTCCTCAACCTCGCCTGCTTTTTAAAATACACACATTTAAGGTTGAATGCTTTTAACGAGCCATCCTTTTATTTCTATCTCATTTCTCTTTTATTTTAATTGCCTGTGCTTTGACAACATCCCTTATTTCGCCTTGGGGAACAACATCTTCGCTTTGATGCTGGAAACGAAACAAACTTCCCTTCCCTTTTAGTCTGTCCCAGGAGAAAAAGAGGGGGTTAAAACTGGCTGATTTTATAAGTAGTCCTGGACTTACGACCGCAAATGTCTGTTGTCGCTGCTTTATCGCTGGAGCTTTTTAAGAAAAGACTGTGTTGAAGCAAGGAGATATTGGACAATAATCCACACTTGGTTAGAAAAAAACGTTAGAGAAACACATAGACCAGGGATTTTAGACCTTTTAGAGACCGAGCGCCCAAACTGCAACCCAAAACCCACTTATGCATTGTCGGGTGCCGGGTGGGTGTGGCCCATTGGGTGGGCATGGCTGCGGTGGTAACGGCAAACTGGGTGGGACTAAAAAGTTCAATCAATCCATTCCAACTTTGCAAGATCTTTTTTTTCTCCGCGAGAAGTTGAAATTGATTGAACCTTTTTTTTTTTTTTTTTTTGCACACGGCGGCGGAGGTCTCAAGCGAAAAGGTTTTATAAAACCCAGCTGAAGGCCCAGGACTGGGGCGATGGCGCGCGTGCCCACAGAGAGGGCTCTGAGTGCCGCCTCTGGCACCCGTGCCATAAGTTCGCCACCACTGACATAGATGATAAACCTGAATTTTTTTTACTAGGTATAATGCCAGAAAAACGTGATAGGCAAAGTACCTATTTGATTCTACATGTGATAACAGCGGC